AGTTCACCGGCGCTGCTGCAGGAAGCATAACCTGCGCGCTGCGGCCGCTCCACTGCCACGTGGGCAACGTTACTCCGAAATCAAAGCCAATTTATTCTGGAATAAAAACCCCACACTCCTCACGGAATAATTATGTTGAAATAGAGTCACTTTCCTTCCAACACGGTTTCAGCCCAACGCTTGCGCTACTACAGCCTGGCTGAGCAGCTTGCCCAAAGAGCAAAGCACACGGCGCTAATTGCCTAGCTTCAATTTTGGTGCCCCCCGCTACAGAATTAGGGGTGTTCACAGAGAGGTGTTCTTTGAAATACCCTGAAGAGCGACTGCGACAGCCCCCCAGGCGACACATCCGCGCAAGGGCCTTTCATTACAAGCTCCTGCAAATTTATGCTTATTACTGTACATTGAATATTGGATCAGATTGTTTTACCATGACTCAAACTTTTTTCTTTTTTTTTCAATGAGAAATTACACGCTTGGAAGTTATTCCTCTCCCCACTGATTCCCCCCTTTCAGGGTTAAACGGCATTTTCCATATCCGAACGCAGACGATTATTTTAGAAAGGATCTTCATCTCGGGAGCCTGAATATTACGCATAGCGATCCATCAGATGCATGCGCCTTTCATTCATCGGTGTGGGGAAGGCGGTGTGCCGGGAGCACGCGCCCTGCCTCGGAGCGGGCGGCTGCTCGGTTTTCTGACAAACTGGAAGCAGAATCATGTGAAATCCCCGCTCTTGGCAAGAGATTTTTAGCAATAAGTAGCAGCTTTATGAGGAATATCCTTTGCCAGGGGACCATCAGCCAGTGAGCAGTGGGATTCTTATTTTTTAATGGACTTTTAATAAGTAGGCCACAATGATAATCTCGATACCAGAGTAGCTTTATTTCTATGTGTAATTATCTCCAGTTCGTACTCAAGCTCCCCACAGCCTCCAAGAGCAAATAAGACCACCAACCTCTCCATGAGAAAAGGAGCAAGAAAACAGCATAGGGCCACTTGAAACGCTATTTGTATCAGACCTCATCCGCTCCTCTCATCTGATATCAAAGTCAACCTCTCCTCCCCTCCTCTAAATCAATTAAATCTCACTTTTGGCGTTTAACTGCTTGAACCCTTACCAGCAGGAAAATCCGTGCTTGGAGCACGGGCAGCGCCGAGAGCACAGCGTCACATCTCCTGATGCTGCAGGAAGACTGTTCGCAGCCCCATCTCCTCCCTGCACGCTGCCTGTCTCCATGCTGTCCCACCGTGTCTCCCGTCCTTCATCCCGTCCCCGTCTCTGGTGGCTGAGACTGGGCCGGTGAAGGCAGAGCCCCCGGTGCAGGGGCAGCCCAACACCGCCGCTGCCCAGCCACAGCCCCGACTCTTCACGAGGCCACAGGATGAGGGACCTGCATGGGGTTAAAAATAATCCGGGGCCAACAGAAGCTATTTTAAGCTCAGATTAGTTCCTTGCAGCCCAGTTCAGTTGACAGCCCCACAAATGGCTGAACTGGCACAACGAAGGGGGATTCCCCGGGAACAGGCAGAGAGGACGTGCAGGCTGAGCCTCCGGTACAGGTTACTCCCAAATGAGAACACCTTCTGCAGGCATAGGCAGAATTTGAGCAGTTTCTGAAGGTCCTCACTAAGCAGAAATCCCACCAGGAGCATCCCTCCATCCTAGCCCTCCAGATTTGCCAGTATCTGACCTCCCCTGTGCTGGTGACCGCATGGTGACCCAGCCTGGCCCAGGAAAGCAGGTTCCATTGGCACCGCGCTCAGGGGAGACCCCGGCTCCGTGAAGAGGTGCACAGAAGATGCTTCACCGCTCCCACCAGCTTCTGGCAGGACTTCTCCTTCCTTCGTTACCTTAAAATCCCACCCTAAAACAACTCTCTCCCCAGCACAGCCTCCCTTTGCAGCACGGACCCAGCCATGCTGCCCGGCCAGCTCCGCTGCCTCTCCTCCGCAGCAGTGTGCCCGTCCCAAGCCTGCACGCAGGCTCTTCCAGCGCTCCTCTGCATGCAGCCTCGCAGGAAACAAATGCAAGCGACATACAGAAATACTGGAGATATCGCAGCACAAAACGTGCGTCTCAAGACCTCCCAAGATCTCTGGGGGAGAGCTGCTCCAGGCTGGATTGTATACAGCAACTCTTGTTCTGCACCTCTCTCCTACTGCTATTCCTGCGGCCAGCCCTTGGCTCTTAAAGCTTGGCTGAACATCCCACCTTCCACCTGAGCATCCAACAGTAACGGGAAATATTCACTGCTTCGCTTTCCCCCCTGACTCAGGGATCTGACTCTTCTTTCAAAATCAGTAATGTTCTGGTCGAGGTCTGCTCCAGCGGAGGTGCAATCCGCTCCCTTTGGTGCCCAGCAGCCTCCCTCTTAACGATTTACAAATATTGCTGTCCCCTCCTCGCAAAAACAGTCCTGCCTTTTACTACAGTCAATGCAGCAAATCCCTGCTTCCAAAGGCTGGCACTGAACGAGGCTCCAAGCGGCAGCACACTATCTCCACTGCCCAGGCTGGACCAGACTCATCAGCGAGGGCAAACGTCGTGGGAAATTCTGCAGCCAAGGATGCTTTGGATACTTTTAAAAACCAAAAATACAAATAGCACCTGCTGGCTGCAGGACCAGCAGGTCTGTGGCCGCAGGGGTAGGTAGGTAGATGCAGAGCAGAGCATTAGATTGCCTCTCTCCCTCCACACTTGTTACTTGCTCAACTTAACGTTGAAACCAGAATGAGCTTTGCTAAATGTCTCCACCGCTAACAAGAAACAAATGTGGCCTCATATTCTAGTTGCTGTGATCTACCAAAACAGACCATGGTAAACACTATAAAAATGTACCGGAGGGAACCACCCTGTGTTTGCTGGGAGAGGGACTGGATAATCTAATAGGGTTTTATCCATCCCTAATGTCTCTGAAAAAAAGAAGGGAAAATTGGGCCCTGTCCATGACATTCGTCATGTGCTAGCTATTCTGATGTCTTAATGCTGCAGAAATCAAATTGGAGCGAGGCTACCTATCTGCCTCCCAATCAGGATCTAGACCCAAGTGCTGCTTTTTATGGCCATGCAGCGTGAGGAGCTGCTGATGTCAGTGGTGGCACAGGCCAGGCCAGTTTTTCCATCCCTATCTCCACGTTATCTGGAGAGATACTCCCTTTGTGGTCACCTCACTCTCCTCATGACGCGGATAATTGTTCACTTCATGGACCTGGGGATCCACCGGCGGGACCTTCCTCTGGCTGAAAGCATCCGCAGGGACGAGATACCTGCCCAAAATGTTAGCACTTATCTGGGTACCTGGGTATCGTGGTATCAGCAGTAACACTGGGATGGTCGTGTCTAGATTTTTATCTTGGCCATGGTAACGGCAAGGGTTGATTCAGTCACCTACCCCCAGGCACCTCGTGGAGCCCTAGGTACCTGCCCAGCCCATAACCAAAGGGTTAAGGGTCTCCTCTAGCTTCAGCGCCAAATCAGCCAGCCCCCACGGGGATCTCCGACACCCTCCGCACTTCAGATAGCTTTATACGGCTCTGCTCAGGCGGTCACCAGAAGTCACCCCCACTCAAGTCATTCTCCTCCCATACTTTTGCCTGCAGGAAGAGCCTTGAGCAGGCTCTGCAGGGCAGGAACATCCCCACCCAGCTCCCAGGAGCCCTGTCCCCCGTTGGCACGCCGGCTGCCGTCTCCGGAGGGCAGAGAGAAACGGGCCCCGCTCTGTTCTTGCACAGAGCCGCAGGCTGCACGGGTAACCCCGTGCTACTCCTGACGCCTGGCCAGGTTTTCTGCATTCACTCCATCCCCTTTTTCAAGCATCTTGGGTTTGTTGTTTGCTTTTTTAAAGCTACTGTGACCTTGGCACGGAGACGGACAAACATCAACTGCCAGAAAACAGCATGTTCTGAAAAGCTACATAGAACAAAACCACAGCCCCATCGCAGTCTGCAAGCAAGATCTTCATCTGGGGAGGGGAGAAAAGAAGCATTTGGGGTGCTTGGAGAAAGTGCTGCTGAAAAGCTGCAAGTACAAAGCACTGCAGCTCCTTGCTCAGCGCAAAGGACGACGTTTCCACGCGCTTCTCCACCTCTTACCTGGCTCTTCCCGCGTCGCCGGTAATTCCTTCTTACAAGGTTCTTGTAATTCTCATTCTTCTTGGTCAGGTAGTAATACAGGACGCAGTCTGCCACCGTCTGCAACAACACAGGCAAGTCAGGAACAGAAGGTCCCGGCCCCTCGCTCTGTCGGGGTGCAGACTTCAGCAGCAGTGTCCTGCCATCGCCAGGTCTCCTGCTTCCCCGCACCTCCCTCCCGAAGCCCTTCAGTGGAGCTGGAAGAGGGGGGCAATGCACGTTGTCCTAGTAAAAAGGCTCAGCTCTTCCAAGGGACAGACTGGGACCGTCTCGCGGGCATGCTGAGATGGAGACGGGGGTGCAGAGCAGAGAGCACCCCGCATTGGAAGCAAAGCAGGGGGAAGGGCTGAATCCAGATGACCGTGGCAACCAAAGGCAGAAGAAGGAGAGCCGCCTGTCACCCTCTGTTGTGGTTATGCGAGGCACAACCTGCCACGCGACTGTCAGCGAGCGTTATTTCCAGCCATTAAGCTCGCTGGCTCAAGCGCACACGACTTTCTCGTGGACAGATTGAGATCCCAGCCCTCAGATCCCAGCCACCATCCCAACTCCCGTTCCAGCGGTTGCTCTGCAAGCATCGTCCCGGATCGGACACGTTAGGAAAACAAGGAGCCGTGGCCAGGACATGTTCTGCTCCTGAACAGCACGGAGCATGCCGCACTGGGAAAAGTCCTTTGCTGAACTGAATGGGCACTTGAACACTGGTCTTTGGCTACACCTTCATATGCAGGATCAGCAGTTGGATGGACAGAAATAATCTCACAGACCCATCAGGCCTGCAAACACCTGGGAAGAGGGTGCCGCTGCATGCTCCCGGGGGGTGCACGGGGGCTACACTCTCCCTATCCCTGTGCAAGGAGTGGAACCATTTGCAAAAACAGATTGCAACTTTTAAAGTGTTAATTGGATCTCCTTCTAATCTAGCCCTGATTATACACACACATGCGAACACAAAAACTTACAGTCATCTGTTCCAAGGGCTAAGATCACTACTTTTTTATAATGCAATTTAAAAATCTATTAATTCATTATATTGAGCCATACTTCGCATCTCTCTCCAACAGGATAATGGATGTGTTCTGTATCATAATTACAGCCTGATTTACAAACGAGTACAAATAAAATTAGAAGACATTTTACAGCTTGGAACACAGACTGGATTGTGAGCATCATCCAAGTCCCACCGCTTTCGGCTTTAACAAGTGGGAAAGGCTGAAAAGAGCCTGGTATCTTACAGCGACAACAGCAGGACGAGGTTGCTTGCTCGCTGCTTTGGAAAGGAAAGTCAAGGTCTTATAAATTATTTCCCCAGCCTGAGTCATGCAGAATCAGAGAATAATTTAGGTTGGAATGGACATCTGCAGGCCACCCCCCTGAAAGCAGAGGGGTTCCCCCAGAGCGAGTGCATGGACGAAACACTGCATGAGATGGGCAGAGGATGCAACTAACTACAAGGACCAGAGAAGAAGCAGCTCTCAAGTGTTTCTTGCTCAGGAGAGCACCTGGTCCGTCGCTGTCTTTCCAGTCTGGGTCTGTCCAGGATCTGCCCACATGGCCTGTCCTACAGAAGGTACCCAGTCCAATTAACAGCAAAAAGGAAAAGTCCAAGAAGCACAACAAAGAGGCTTGGGAAAGCTCAGGCCCTCCTGTGAGCAAACTATTCCGAAACACCAAGGGGAGGTGTGCATGCTTACATGACACCAACCTGAACTGCTGGATGAACTGGGACTCGGTCCACCCTCAAGATCCCCTCCCTGCACGCGGAGGGGACCCTTCTGCTTTGTGCTGGGCAGCCGAGTGCCCCACACCCCCTGTGCGACAGCCTGGCTGGTGCAAAGCGCCTCCAGGAGCTGCTGGAAAGCAGCTCCCCCAGGCAGATCGTGGGGTGGGCTGCAACGCCTATGCGCCAGGCTGGATGCGTTCACGCATCTCGCGGCTCTGAGCTCCCTGTCTCTCCGCAGCTGACTCAGTCCCTTGTCCCTGCAGGGAGCTGGGAGGCATCCGGACCATTCCCGGGACTCTGAGCCACCACTGCCCACAGGTGCCCAGCATCCGCCGGCTGCTCCAGCACCAAAGGGAGCCACGTGATGGAGAAGAGAGAGAGCGCCAGGCAGGTTAAAGCCAGGCAGGGAGGCTTACCTTCCTGTCCAGAAAGGATGCGATCAGGCCAAAGTTCTTTGGATGCTGCATGAACCTGTGGGAGCGAGAGGGAGAGGATTAGTGTGGGTGCTGGCTCTGACCCCTCTTGCAGCTGGGGCCATGCCACGCCTGGAGTGGTGAGGCCAGCTCCCCGAGGGACTTACGGGTTTGAGAAAATATTTGTCTGCTGCTCAGCTTCCCAGAAAGACAGGAACTTTAAATTTAGCCCAGTGGAGCTGGGCTGGTTGGGAGCTTTGATGCGCAGATGTTCATCACAGGGCGGGAGAGGGCAAGGGGGCTGGCAGCACCCGACAGCTGCCCGTCACCCTGCTCGATCCCACCGTCACCCAAGCCCGTACCGATGGCAGGCTGGGCACAGAGGGCAGCTGCGCACCTGGCCAAGGCCTCAGGATTTGGCAAGGAAAGGGCGAGGAATCGCTGTCAATGGCTGAGCACAAGCACCCCACAGCATGGCCGGGGGTGGCCCCACCGCTGAGCAGGACCCCAAGCCCAGCTGGGCTGTCAGGAGCAGCTGCAAAGGACGGGAAGGGAAACCCAAACCCCGGGAGGAAGCACAGAGCTGCCACGTTGCCGAGTTGCTCAAGAGATCCCCGGTGGCACAGCGGCTCAGAGGAACGCCGCCTCCTGCCCAGCGAGCGGAGGAGCTGTCAGCAGGCTTGCCTGCGGCTCCGGCAGCCCGGGAGGGAGCATCGCCTGCTGGGGGGGAAGCTGTCCCCGGGCGCAAAGATGTCTCCTCCAGCAAAACCCTTCACCTAGCTGGTGGGGAAGCGCCAAAAGCCAAAAAGCCCTTGGCACGAGGTGCTCCCAATGGCAGGAGGACAGTTAACTGTTGCATCACCGAA